CTATGTGCTGCATCTGCCAGTCCCACAGGGACATCTGAGGTACCCAAGTGCATCAGAATAATAGTATGTTCTCATGTTTGAAAAACTGAGTCTTATCTTCCTCAATTATTTTAATCTACTATTTTTATATTTTGTTATTTATGGATGCTAACTGGAGTTTAAATGCATCACTGAAAGGAAGTTCTACCAGAAATTTTGCCTAGCTCCAGTATATCTCTAGTATTTCTTCCTAAAGAAGCTGAATTTATATGCTGGATGCTGATAATACCATGTGAAAGCTTCCCATTCCCCATTGGTTTTTTTCTGAATTTTTTACTTCTCTTGGAGATGAATAAAAATGAAGACAAATTATGTCATATAAGTGTGCAGTAAAAGGTTAGTTCTTACTCCAACAAAAAGTTGGAGGAACTTGTAACAGATACTTTAATTCTCCCTTTCAGTACATGATCTAACATGCCATTTAGTGAAGAGAAAATCGTGGGACTCAGACACCAGACACTTTCAAAGCTGTTTTAAGTTCTCATCCAAAGGCCATTTACTCAGTAACAAAAATCTCCTGCTGATTTCTGTGAATTTTATGTCAGACTTGTACAGCCTTAAGTCTGGTGACTTTCTGTGCTGATTATTACTTGGGAAGATACTGATACTTGAGTAATCTTCTTGTCAGAGCTGTAGCTGTAGTAGTGACCTGTAAAAATACACATCTGGGTGCAGAACAGAGGTGGAATACACATATTATCTGAGTTGCCTCTGTTTTAAACAGGAAGGTAAGCAATTTGTAACTGTTATTGAAATATGTTTTGACAAACTGGGTTACAGAAATGGTCATGCAAAGAGAAAATTGTGTCCAGCAGGGATATAGCTGTGAGATTAGCATCCTCTGCAGCCAGAGGAGGATGTAGAGCAGTGTTTGGAGGGGTACAAGGAAGGCAATTGTTCTGTACCTTAGTTGAGTAAGTAGGCTCTGAAGCCTGAGATGGAGAAGTTCTCTGTTCTCGGCTGCCTCCTGATCATCATCCCTGTGCCATACCCTTGACTAAAGGAAGAAAAGACAGTTCTAATGCTAAGAAATTCGTTCCATCTCAGTGCTTTTTCAGTCCCTGGCCCCAGGCCAGCGTGGTTGTCCTTTACTTTTAGGAGTGTTTTAAGTGGTATGGTAGAAGATTAACAGAGAAATGCTGAATTTGTGCAGTATTCTGGGCTTTGTATGCCTAAGTAAGTTTACCCTAAGTCTGTTCTGAGCAGGGATACAATCTTTTTTGTGGGGAAAGTGGAATATTTCTGATATGCATTTTTTGTGCCAAGTCTCTACAAGAAAGGACAAAATTCAATTACTTGAATATAAGCACATAGTATCATCTTGATGCCCTACGGTACCTTAGATGTCCCTGTGGGACTGGCAGATGTGACACACAATATCACAGAGACCTGCATCCTTCTGTAGCTGCAGCAGGAGGCTGAGGCAAGATGCTTCAGGTCATCTAAAATTAGACTAGATAGAATTCTTTCTGTCTGTGTGTGTGATTATATTTTGCCAACTAAAATTTTAAAAGTGTTCCTGCTTCTTATAGCACATGAAAAAGAAGAGACTACCAAATCACTGTTTCCTGGATATTTTCAACATCTTGCATTGGATGCCAAAGGCTTTTGTCTCTTTGTCCCCCACATACAAAATGAGTAAAAGATGTCATTTTACACGAGAAAGTTATGCAGAAAGGTCCTTTCTGTTTGTAAGTTGTTCAGCACTGTAGTAAACTCACCACAACCCCATCCCCAAAGAATTAATTCCAGAATAACTACTTAAATGGTGACTATTTAATAGTGACTGGTAAATAGACTCGCTCACTGAGAGATCACAGTTCATCCTGTGCACTGAACGCTAAAAAGGGGAAAAGAGTGTTTATTTTGATACCAGCTCCTGCAAGTGGTAGAGGTAGCCAAGCCCTTGACAGTTCTGTGAGGCATCGTGGTGGTTACACAGGGATGCAGAGCAGGGATGGGGAGTGCCCTGTGCCACTCCTGAGCCCAGGAGAAGGTGTTTGGTTATGGGCATCTCCCTGTGGCTCTAGAACAGACAGATGTTCCCACAGGATGTGGGATCTTGTCCAGGAACAGTTGGGTCAGGATGCTCGATGGGACATGGGGATCTCCACAGCACAGAAACCCAAACTCTGGGCAGAGAGCACACAAGGAGCCTGACTGTGCAGTAGTGGCTGACACTCAGTTGGGAATGGGGAGTGGGATCTATGTCCAGATTATGCTTTTAAAATAAATGCATAAGAAAATAAAATCAAATTATTAAACTGAAAGAGGAGAGGTTTAGCACAGATCTTGGGAAGAAATCCTTTACTGTGAGAGCACTGAGACACTGGACCAGACTTCCCAGAGAAGCTGTGGCTGCCCCAGCCCTGGAAGTGTTCAAGGCCAGGTGGATGGGGCTCTGAGCAACCTGGGATAGTGGAAGGTGACCCTGCCCATGGCAGGGTTGGAACAAGATGATCCTTGATGTCCCTTCCAAACCATTCTATGTTTCTCTGTTTCTGTGAAATTATTTAGAGAGAAACAGAGAGTGAAGCCTGTCACAGTTGCATATTTCCTTACTCAGTCTTTTTGATCCTGTTATCCATCTCACACTGGGATATTTAATTGGCCATGCTAGATCTTTCAAAAAATGGGTGCCCATATCCAGGGCACTACAGCACTTCTTCCCACCTCTGTTGCATGACCCCATTAACAATTCTGTTCTCCCTTTAAAATTTATCTATGTTTATATTGTTAACCTGGTCTGTGTTGAGTGTCTTCACATTTTATCAAAATCTTCCTAATTGCTGAGAATATTAAATGTAACTGGTGCTTAAATAGATTATTGAGTTTGATATGGATAGTTCAGCTGTCAGCAGTGCCTGTTGACTTTTCCCCATGCCACTTTCTGTTCCATCTTTTGATGGCTACAGTAAGTTCCATTTTCTGCACTTTAGCTGATGATTTTCTGACATGGCAATGTTTTCTTAAATGTATTTCAGTGCACCTTAATCTTGTCTCACTCTCAGCTGATAAATCCATGTCATGATTTATCTCCCTCCCTTCCACCCAATCTTCTGTCTCTGCAGTTTTGCACTTTATTGCATCAACCTTTGAATGAGTCTGTGGTTGTCAAACTTGCTCTACTGTTTAACTGTCTTTTGTAAATACATCAAAGCCAGGTTTTTCATGCTCCAGCCTAAGCAAATATCCATAATGTGACAGTTTAAAATGAAAATGTTACCATCTTGAAATGTTATTAGTACCAATTCTGAGTGGGTGATGAAATCAGGTCCCCTGTAATTAAAACATTTAATGCTCTTTTAAGTTTTTTCCTGAAATAAAATGGGATGTAGTAGTTTTCATTTCTCCCAGCAGTGCCTGTGTGCTTCTCCTTACTGCTGATAACTGAGGTAAAGTCACCTACACTGTTTTTTGCCTTTAGCTTATTACTGCTTCTGAGCACTGTCCCGATATATGTCCTGTTCTACCCCTTCTTAAAGAGATTACAAAACCCTCCTTTTCCCTGCTTCTCTTAGTTCTCTTGATAGGGCCATGTTCAGCCTGACTTCCAGCAATTTTAATGAATCCTTTAAACTTATATTAGTCCTACAATTTCTTTTCTGTAGTGGGAGGAAAGAGCTAACATTGCATAATGTAAATTAAAAGAAAAGCAAGTAGAACACACACTCCATAATAGAATAGACATTAAATCTTTAGAAATGGATGGAGAAGTTGCCATGGGCTTCAGTGACTTACACATCAATTAATGCCAAAATGGCAGATGGGAGCATATTTATTAGTATTTACCTTAAGATTTTAGAAGTTAACATGATAAAAAGTAAAACAGAAATCTTTAATAGAGGAAATAAAGGAAACTCTGTGTCCTATGTAGCAAAAATAAAGGGCTTTCCATTACAGTAACAAGGTTTGCCATTTATTGTGAAGGATAAGTTCAGAGTCTTGTTCATACCTTTTTCAAAATAACACTTTCAAGAAGACCTATTTGAGATAAATGTGACCAATTTATAGACCATACACTACGAGACACTTTAAAAGGAGTGTAAGCTTATTCCATGGAAGTCTCCATAGGTGGGCAAAATGCTGATAATAACAATATACAATGAATACTTTTTTCCTTTAAGAAATATCCTTGACATTCTGGAAAAAAAACCTACAGAAAATATGATGTGCTGATCAAGAGTAAGATTTTTATCTGGAAGTATTGTCAAAAATTCTAACACCCTACAAATTTTTCCTAGCTTATTCTTTATAAAGCAGTACCCACTTTGCTTATGTGATTACTGACTGGTTTTAAAGTTTTAACTTTAGTTTTTTGTTTTTTAAAATAAGATCCAGGTTTATTTGTCTATAAACAGTATTAACCATTTTTGTTTTGCCTTCATTACATAAAGTTTTCCACTCAAGTGAAAAATAAAAAGAAAAAAGGAATGAAGAAATAGGGTCTTGAAGCCTTCATGGTAATGCAAGCTTTTAGGGTGACTGATTACCTCAAGCTTTAAATTGTTTGAAAAAAACACTTCCTCAAATTGTTTTCACATCCCATGAGAATTTTTTTTAAATACCTCTCTTACCTAAAAGGGCAAGAGAAAAGTTTGGTTAAGAGATACCCCACCCATTATTTCTGGGAGTTATCTGGTTATCTTGGCTCCATTTCAGGTTTGAGGTGTGGGTTACATCCCATACCGTGCAGAACATGGTGCTCTAGGCTTTGCTGAAGTGAAAGAATGTAAAATAAAAACTGCCAATGGAAAGTAGTTTGGGGGCCTGGCCCTTGAGTAAGGTGATCTGAGAGGGAAGTTTTCCAAGCACTTACTAAGCTTAGGAGGAACATGTCATTCTGGTGGTGGACACAATACTTTGAATGATGAAAAATTAGTATTTCCTACAAAAGCTATTTTTCTTTCAAGTGTCACTATGGGAGAGTACTACTGACTCCTGTCTGCATCCATTTGCAGGAATCTCGGTGGCCTTTCTTGTTTGGAGCAATCATTGTTCCATCATTGATACAAGTCGTGATTCTGCCTTTTCTTCCTGAAAGTCCTCGGTACCTCCTCCTTGAAAAGCATGACAGGACCAAAGCAGAAAAAGGTATGATATGTTACTTTTTTGCAATAAAGAGTGTTTATTGTAGGGATTCAGGCTGGAGATCCCTGATTCTGGTACCACACTTGAAGCAGAATATTCTCATAGGAGAGGATTTCTTGGCAATAATTTTTCTCATCTTTTTTGTTTGTCTCTGTATGCATAAATATAGCCGTAGCTTTGAAGTTTTTATAAATTAAATTCTCCAGCAAGGTAACATATAACATGACACATGGTCATGCAGACCTAACCAAATCATCCTGCAGTTGTGTGCCAGCCACTCTGTGCAGGGTTCATTTGGAAGTGAAAGGCGATTTCAGTCATCGTGACTCCCCCTTATCTACAGTCTTTGCACTTTGACTAATAAAAACACTGATTCTGCTGCTGCCTTTTTTCCCCAGTAGTTGCTGTGCTTGACCCTGTGTTCTGTAACTCAATAACCTTTGTAGATCTAATAAAACCCCCATACATCTGTTTAACTGAAAAATTCTGTTTAACTGAAGCTTCCATATTGCTTCAGCTTCACAGACACAGAATATTTTGTCCTTACTTTAGGTTCTAGGTATTAAATGATTTTCTTGTGTGATCAGAGTTGCTGCATTCTCCACCCCATTACATTTACTGTGGTCCCAATACAGCTGAGAGAATGTTAAAAATTTGGTTTCGTTTATTATAATGACATATGAAAAACAGGAGTCTACAAAAAAGGAGCCTGATTATAACACCAAAATATCAAACATAAGTGCTTTACAAATTATTCTTAAAAACTTTGTTTGAATATGACCCTGAACCTTTTCAGTCATGAACTGGTTGCTTGCAAAATTACTTGTAAAGCGTGTATCAACGCCTGAAATATAAATGTATTAATTTTTAACATGAAATTAATGCAATTCTATCCAATTTCTTCTATTTGGAAACAAAAAATTGGCATTTTTTGTTCTGAAGAGCCCTCTGAAAAAGAAATAGCACACTAATGAAGAGACTCCCATGTTGCCCCAATTTGGTGTTGAATGAAGAATTCTATAAATTATAAATTGGAGCTTTATATATTATATGATATATTATAATATATATATATTCTATATAGATGTAATACAATATATATTATATTATATTATATTAATTATATTATAAATTATAATTTGGATCTTCAGACACTTAGAAATATGGTTCAATGCTTTAAAAAATAAAAGAGCACAAAAGCAACAAGGTTTTGGGGAGAGTTCTTTAGCTTCACAGAATCAGCAGAGTTTTGAGGAGGCAGAGAACAGCTTTTCCAAGCACCATGAAGCAAGGGCTGCCCTGCCAGCTGTGCTCAGAGCACCCAGCAGGGGTGCAGGTCCCAACTCAGGATGGCTGTTGGGTGGAAAGTTCTGAAGAACCATGGCTGTGCAGGGAAGAAATGCCTTTGGGTGCCAAGTTTAAACTGGCTAGTTCCTGCCTGATAAAACTGTAGATTTCCAGAGCTATGGGTGGCAAAGAGTCTGCATGTGCAATGCTATTTTATAATGTCACATTTGCTATGAGGAGCTACTGAAAATCCTGCTACAGTACTTGGAGACCTCAGCAGTGACAGTGAAACTGGACCTCTCATAGGCAGAGTTTAAAAATTGTAAAACATGGAAGGAAAATGACACCACCTGCCTTAAAACCCACACCATTTACTGTTGCCAGTAATGTGCCAGCTGCACTCCGGGATGTTTTCAGCATATATGTTCTGAAAATAATTTGAAATCTAATCCAGAGGCGTTGGAGGTAGGTTTTGGAGTAGAAGGCATCAGGAGAGCAGTTGCCTGGGTAAATGAACTTTAGCTGCTGGCTTGCTGATTACAAGAAGATGGCTTTCTTGAGCCACCCTAAGGACTATAAATTTATATACTCTGAGAAAAAAGAGACAACTGGTATGAAAAGCTTTTCAAATAACTGCTTATGCATATATGCTTTTGGATTTTATTAATTCTAAAAGAAAGATATGTTGTAGTGTAACTCATTTTGAGTGTAGTCTACAGTAGAATTCAAAAAATAGGAGAGTGAATCAACAATCAAGACAAATCATTTAGAAATTCACATTATCAGCAGAAATGGGGGAGGAAAAGTCTAGGTATTAAGGAGATTGGAGGAGTTGTGATTTATTAAAATGCCCTTTTGCTTGTAAGTCATATAATGACAAAGCAGAATTCTTCATTTAATGATGACTACAGTAATGCTTTTAAATTATTTGCCTCTTAGCTTAAATCTGCATATTAATATTGGAAATTTGCAACTCTTTCTACTGACTAAATCCCTTTTCTTACCCTTAATGGATCAAGGCTATTCATGCAAATATATATTTCACTGTGGATTATACCTTGTCAGAGAAATAAAACTATTATTAGCAAAAGGTCTGCTGTGTTTAAAGCAGATGACTACATTAGTCTTTATGAAATACTCTAAAGTATACATGTATATCAAAACTCCTAAAATGAAGCTGACAGCGTTAATCTTCCTAATTGTTTTAGAGCAATAATATCCAGTGAGATAATGTAGGTCATTGAGTTTCCACAGAGTTTTGCCCCTGCTTTCATCCCCTCCTTTTCTTCTCTGTCTCAGGAGATAACCAGTCTATAACTACCAAAATACAAGTGGTGCCTTTTCTGGCAGACATCTTTAAGGGGTAAATAAGAGACTGAGAGAAGGGGAAGGACCAAAACCTGTTGTGTAAATAATGAAAAAATGAAGGAATGGACATAGAGGTTTAGAGTAGAGAGGCATCATGTGCAAGCCTAAACCACAACTCCGTGAGAGAAGCTATTTTTTGGGGTTCAGGGGCAGAGGTGCCTCAGATGAGTGAGGTCTCCTGAGCCCCATTAGCAGGGTTTTGCCCAGTGCCCTGCTCTCCCCTCTCCAGCAGTGCAGGCTGTGCAAGCTGTGGATGGCTGAGCCGACCTCTGGCCGATCGGACATATGGACACCACATCTGACTTGCTGCTGTCTGCTGCCAAAAGCAGCACTGATAGAGAGCTTGGCTCTTCTTCCTGGAGTTCACCAGCCTGTGTCCTACTCCCTGAGACACAAAGGAACTGAAATACCTCTCATATTCCTGTCCCACTGCTGAATGTGGGAGAAGCGATCCATGTGTTTTGGGGAGAGAACAATCAACTGGAACAACAACATAATCTGTAAACCTGCTTTGCTCAAGAAACTAAGTCTGGTAATGAAGCAAGGGCAGAACCATCCCAGCTCCTCTCCCAGGTCCAACAACCAATATTCTTCTCATTTGGTAAGAATAGAAGGGAAGAAATTGCCTAACTGGTGTGATCCTTCTTCAAGGCCAGATAGCAGAGGAGAAATGGGTATTTAAGTGGTTGAAGAGAAGGACTTTGGAAGGAGATTGTGGAAATGAAGAGTGACAGGGATAGAAACAGGTAGAAAAAGAAAAACCTGCTGCTCTAATTACATCAGTTTACCATCCAAGTTCTAGGACAGTAAGTGAGGGATTTCACATTAGCTGTCTATTTTCTGCATGCCAAGTGCACCCCTGATCTGTGAGTATCACAATGATGTAATATAAATAAAATCAGTAGCAGTGATAAAATGGAACATTTTTTTATGACTAAAAACATTGGTTATAAACACTTGCAGTTGGAGAGTTGAGGTGTCTTTTTTGAAGTGCACTTTTACAGGGGGGAACCTTTCATTTTCTATGCAGCTACAGTAGCAGCTCATGTAAATCAATAATGGAATTCAGCTGGTATCCCAGCTTGCCAGAGAACAAGAATATTGTTATGTCTTAAGGGTCAAACATCTTGGATAAAATGTCACAGCAACATCTGTTGGTGACATACAAAGTATGTTCATCTAGTGTGTTCAGTCATACATTAAATGTCCCATGGTTATAAAAGAAGCATTACAATAGGTATAATGAGCAGCTTAGATTTAAATTTTTAGAAAGATGGATTAGGTTTGATACCTTTTTATGTGACAAAAGAGCGAAGCCACTCCTGATTTAAAAAAGCAGGTAGTCAGTTTTTTACAAAGCCCTTCAGGAGGCCCACATGGACTGGAGAGATGTTAAACCCAAAGTTCCAACAGGAACAAGTTACTGAAAATCCAGTGATTAAAATAAGTTGTTATGACTGACAACAAGCAAGTGTATGATTTAATTTTGTTTCTCTGTGCATTATTTATATCTGTAAGGATTATAAACTATTCTTACTGGAAAGGAAGAGACAGCCATGACTACTACACTTGCTGGCTTACAGTAAAGGTTTCATCTCAGATGTTTGCCTGCGAAAGCTGGAGTGATTGTGGTGTGTCTGATTTGTTTTTAAGCTTTTCTTAAACCTCCTGTCTTTTAAAAAGGATATAAGGTCACTGACCTTTAATACAACACTGTTTACCAATTCTTGTGTTATTTTAGGGTGGTGTGTATATGTTTTATTTTACCTCTTTATTTTGGCTAGTCTCAGGTGAACCTGAACAGGCCTATTGGTGTGTGTAAAACCACACATACAAACAGGTAAAGATGTAATTCTTAACTAGATAATAACTCGAAAAAAACCCTGTGTGTTCTTTACTTAGAAGAAGAGGGAGGTGACTTGTGGGAAAAGCCTAATGCCATTTGCCTGCACTTATATTTTCTGATATTTTTTTCTTAAATTTTGCTAAGCTGCATGCTAGTAGATCAATATTTTTCTAGATCTAAGTAGCATTGTTATATCTCTTCTAGGAAGATACATCTGAACTATTCTTTGGGATAGTCAGTACTCTAATAAAATTAGTTTATATGAAAATAACTTAGTTCATTTTATAAATTATTTCTGTGTTGACATAGAGTTATTACAGGGAAATTTCTACTGTCTTCAACAGTGGACAAAGAAGATGCTGTTTAAGCAGAACTTAGACAAAGATGTGTGAAACAGTGTAACACTGGATTTAATATAACTAATCATCAGGAAAGTAAACGTGTCCATGGGAAACAGATGACAATAATACCTCCACAGCTTATTTTAATTTTTTGTCTGTTTCTTTTCAAAGGATAAGCCCAAAAAACTTTGGCCACTTCTCTCTTTTTCTGTATCCTCTTGCCTGGTGCTGGCTTTATACTGTAAACCATTCAATAGCATTTTGATCTTTTAAAATTTCTTCTCAAAGTTCACATTTTAATTGTTAACATGTTATTGTTGGTAACAATGCTTTCTTTGCACAGTCCTGGAAGTACTATAGTGGAAAAATAATTAGTAATTCCCCATGTAGCTGAGATGTTGAGTGTCCATCTTCAGTTAATCTAAAGACCAGATTGGTTTTAGACATGGTACCAACTGACTTTTTTTTCAGGTCTTTGAACCTCTTTCAGGTGTTTCACTTTCACTTAGGTGAGATGAATAAAAACTGGTGGTGTAAATGGAAGGTTTCTTGACTTTCCCCTTGAGTGGAACCATCCAGTTCTTTTGCTGTTTATGAAGGCAGTATTACAACTTTTGAAGGCTGATCTTCTATAACCTTCTGATCCAAGGGAATTAAACAGGAAACTGGAAAGTTTTAAAAGTTTCTAGACTTGCAACTCCTTAGATGGTTTTAAGTGTTACATGAAAATAAGGCTTCCCTACAGAGAGAAGCAGCTACTCACGGAGGGAAATGAGTCATTGCAGCAAGGAGAGGAACGACTGCTGTGCTTCTCAGTGCCAGTAATGCCACGGTTTGGAATGTAAAACTAATAAATTGAACATTGCACATTGAAAGACTTTTGAGTTTTCCTATGTCCCTGCTAATGCAGAATTTATTTCCACCTTATTTATATGTAAAATTGTGATTCTTATGGTACTGAAAAACTGGTAATGGAAGAAAATTAAAGACATTGAGTAGCAGGAAAATGTTTTTCCAAGAAGGTTGGGTGATGTCTATTCAAAACTATGCATGTAGGGCATAGTAATTTCTTAGCATTTCTGGACTTGTTGATAATTTTAAGTATCCACCAAAGTTTCCTAGTGGCATTTACACCTCTTTTCTTATTGCCATGAAGGAAAGAAATTGGCTGGTTATGTTTTTCCTACCTTGTACTTGACAGTTTTGGTAATTGTAGTTCTTTGGTTCCTGGTCCCTCTAGAAATACAGAAAGCTCCTTTGTGCAGGAAAGACAGATTGCTATCTTTTTACTTGACTGCACCTATATTTTTGACTTGTGTGCCCTAAAGTAATGACGAGGATTCTAAGGACAGGAAAAACAAAGGAAATTGTGCACTGACCTAATTTACACTGATAAAGCAGGTGTAATGGAAGACTTTGGTGATATCTGCTCATGGAAAATTATGGTGATATATGTCATTTACATTTACATTTCTTATCACTGTCTTTGAATACATCACATTCATTAAAATGAGTGATTATCATGTTATTTATTAAAAAATGTGCAACAACAAAGGACAAAACTGAGCAGCTTAAAGTTTTAGTTCCAAGGTCTCACTTTGTTAATTCATTTCTGACTCTACAACCTGTATAAAAAGATAAATCTTGTGCTTTTACATAGAGATTTAAAACTTCTGACCTCTCCTCTCACAAGAGAGAAACTGGTTATCAGAATATATGAATGTTATAAATTGACTCAATGCACAGAGGTAGTTCATCCTTTAAAAAAATCATCCTTCTTGTTAAGCAGAATCATTAAAATGCATTAGAAGTGCTAAGTGCCTCAGAAGAACTTGGCCCAGAGCTCGAGTTAGTTTCCTGCACCGCCAGACTGGGAGCCAGGCAGAATGTGCAGCCTTGTACAGTCACCAAAGCATCAGAGAGGGATGCTCTGGGGAGGCCACCAGTTCATTTGTATGACCTATCTCTCACAACAATGAAATGCCACCAATTGGCCTTTTCACCTATTGGGTAAAGATAAAAATTTGTAACCTCAAAATCTAAATAGAGTCTGGATATATTAACCATGACTAGTCAATATCTCTAATTTTCTTGACCATCAAAGTGCTTTTTATGATCCGAAGGTGTGTAAACATGGTGAAATATGTGGTCATTTGTTTATAGGCAGTGTTTTGCAAAGCTGTGGATAAGAAAAATTGACTTGGCCCTTAGGTGAAGTAAATGAACTTATTCATTTATTAAAAATAACAATTTAAAGTGACCTACTGTGTAAAGGATTGTTTTGAGTGTTAGCATCCTACTGGGTCGCAAAGCCTTGTTGCAGGGGTGTGTGTAATGTCATTGTTTCTCTGCAGTCACTCTGAGATGATGAGCATTTTAAACATCTCTTAAAATGCCAACCCCTGGGGTATGTTCATTAGATTGAGACAAAAGTATCACCTGCATAGACAGAATCTGTCAAACAAGGTTGGTGGAGACACATCACGTCTGGTTGGAGGTATTTCTATCGTGGAGGAGGTGTGAGGTGGAAAGGCTGTTTTATTCACAGTGGAAGGATATTTCAGTGAGCTATCAGTGTGCAATACTAAATAGTGTCTTTCTGGGGAGATGAGGTTTGTTGGTTGGTTGCTTGCTTGCTTACATTAGCCATGTAAATTTGTTCCCATGACTCCAGAATTGACAAATATAAAGTCTTTAACTGCTCTGGATGATTATTTATAATATTAACCTGACAAAGTGAATTCTTGTCTACATGCTAGTAAAAACAAGAGGTAATATGAAGTAATAGTAGCTATTCCTTTCCAGTATCTGCATTTTCTTGGTTTACCAGACTTATATGAATTTTTGCATCTTACTTCTTTCCTAACCAATCTATCTCCAGCAATGAAGCCAGCTATACTGTTAGGCTGCAAAAGTAGCCAAGTCAAATAATGTTCAGAGATGCTTTGGTAATAAATATTTTTGAGGGTTTTCACTCTTCACTGGACATTAGGCTATATTATAGATAAAATAACAAAAAAGAGGTCTTGTAGGGAGACAAATAATCTATGGTTTTGTTTCCATTTTTGACCCCAATAGCAGGGGTGAACCAGATCACATCCAGAGCAGAATGATATTGTTGGCAGAAGAATAATTAAGTTGTAGTGCATGTATGCCTCCTGTTTATGCCAAACGTTTCCATTTTAAAGAAGCAACACAATTATAAATGCACACAGTGCCAAGTGTCTGGCCTAAAGTACACGTCCTCTCTTTGCAGCATTTCAGAGATTCCTTGGGAAAGATGACGTGTCTCACGAAATAGAAGAAGTTTTGGCAGAGTCTCGAGTGCAAAGGAACACCAAGCTGGTGTCCATTGTGCAGCTGCTGAGAACCCGCGCGGTGCGATGGCAGATCGTCACCGTGGTCGTCACCATGGGCTGCTACCAGCTCTGTGGGCTAAACGCTGTAAGTGTCCTTCCTCAGGCCATGGCACCCCCTGGGGACCTCCTTTTCTTTACAGCAAGGCTTGGGTTACACCAACCTCTATGGGCTCCCTCTTTCGGCTGTTTTGTATTACTAATGACTCTGCGAGAGCAGTGTGTGGGAAGATCCACAGAGATCTGTATTGTCTGGGGGGTTTTAAAAAAATGTTTGAGGAAAGTCATGTTGCGTTAACTTTGAGGGAATACATGAAAAGGTAGAAGAGATCAGCAAAGAAAGAGCAGTTTTTACTTCTGATACTCAGATTCTCTGTTTCTGGATATGCCCCATACTTATTCAGTTTTTTAGACATTTTGGCTTGGATTCTTTCAGTTCAGTACTTACAAGAAATCATAAGTGATATATAAGTGATTTTAAAAGGTCGCACTGCACATTTGATTTTTTTGTTGCTTCAATATTTCTGTTTTGGAAAGTGAAGTGAGAGAGGGAAAAGACATAAAACTGTGGATCTTTCTGACCATTAATATGTCTGAGGTTAATGGATATGAGAAGTCTCCTTTACCATCTATCTGAGCCTATATGAGAAGGTCACAGAACCATGTAGGTTGGAAGGTCCCTTCACCTGGGCCAAGCCCTTGCTTAGAGCAGGAATGACTTCAGGGCTGTCTCAGGCTCCTGAGGCCCTTGTGCAGTTGAGTTTTAAATATATTCAAAGGTGAAGAGTCCATAACCCTCCTGAGCAACCTCTGCCAGGTGTTGACACCACTTACATTGTGAAAAGCGTTTTCTTTATATCCAGCCAGACCTATCCATGCTGCAGCTTGTGCCATCTGGCTTAGATGCTTTATTCTGCAAAAAACAAATATTCTCTTGAAGCACCTCAAAGCAAAAGGGGTTTTGTCATAGGTCAAAGGCATTACTTGCTTATAGATAGGATAAGCAATATTCTTGCTGCTGCAAGGAACCCACCCTCCTTGTGCTCTGCAGCAGACTCCAGCTAGATTTTCCCCCCAGGGCTAATAAGTCCATGTGCTTTTGTATCTATGAGCAGTAGCTCAGGCTTATCTCAGATATCTCTATAGCTTTAAGACTCCAAATAAATGTAATTTGTTCAAGACCATTTAAAAGATTAATGCAATTGGAACTCTGATATCTAAAAGCTTTTTAAGAAGTACTAGGAAGGAATTAGAAGAGTTTTTTCATCCTGTGGGGTAAACTATAATACTGTTTATATAGGTGGTATTTTCCTCAAATGGTAGGATTTCAGTGCTAATGGCAGGTTATTTTATGCCTCATTGTGGATACGTTTTTGAGAAAAAAAACACCAGAATTATCTTGTCATCCAGTCTTTTTAAGATTTATCAACACATAAGGGAAGAAATGTCACTTATAGTAATAAACAGACTGTTCAAATAATGGAGCACATTGCCTTAAAAAAAAAATCACAGCTAAATTTTCAGGGGAAATGGAAGTGTTTTGTGACTTTGAGGATACTTAATAGTTGATAGAAATGGTCCAGTATCATGGCTTAAGTGAGAGTGTGGTTGGACAGTCAGACATGTCCAGTCCAAAATGGATGCCAGAGTTACTTTAAAATGCCATTAGATAGCCACTTTCTGAAAATATGCCTTAGAGAAATAGTCTTTGTCAGGGAACCTGTGTATTGAGTTGGCTATTTCAAGGCTTTCTTTTTTATTATTACTTTGTTTCTCCTCTCAAGCAATGTCACCAAACATGAAAAAAAACTTATTCACACAAAAAACTGTGTTTTGAAATGGATTACTTAAATAGTTGTTAGTTAACAGCAAAACCAATAAAATTAAAAGATAGGTCAAGAGAAATAGCTGGACACTTGATTAAGATGCCAGGCTTTGAAAACTTGTCTCTTTTGCTTGGCTTTCCTGGCTGATGCTGCTTGAGTCACCCGAAGCTCCAAGATGAGAGGACAGGTCTGGGTGTGACAGATTCTGGTGAACCTGGGTCTTAGTTTGCCTGAATTCATCTGAACCAATGTTCTGGGTGTGAGCCAGCATCAGCCAGGTTTTGCTGGCAGGGAAGGCTCCTTCTAACTCACTTGCTTTGTCTGTGGTGCCCTGTTAGTCAGTCTGGTCTTTTCCACAATTACCATCTGGACAGGGCATATGGGAAAGTTTGGATTCCTTCAGGCGAGAATCTCAGGACGTTCTCCAGGGAAATTGCCAACTGGCAGATTGCTGTAATCATCCTGCTGGTACCTGAGAACACTTGCTTCTTTTTAAGGATTTTACTTTAAAAAAATTTGTTTTACTTTAAACAGTACATTTGTTTATTTCCACATGGAACAGAAATCATGGTGAAGCTCCAATCATGTTAATGTTTTCAATGATAACAAAATACCAGACAGCCTGACCTAAACTGACATAAATAATTTCCTATTAGTCTCTTTTACTCTGTTAACGTTTATCTGATGCATATAAGCCATAATAAATTTATTTATCCTCCACCATTTTATCTCAGTTGTAAAGAAGTCACAAAACTACGGTGAAGTTTTCACTGGTGAAGGTTATACTTTTTCATATCAAGGAATACACTGTATGACATATTGCTCTAAGGGAGTCATTCCCAAAGTATGATCCCTAGGCTTCTGTAAAGCCTGTTCTTCAGGATGTATTTAGGTGCAAAGGAATTATTCTGGGATGGATCTGAGGAAGTTCTCAATATGCAAATGATCTGTCATGGTGTGTGCTTCACAGCTGGGATGCAGAACACCAGGCAGTGTAGGAAGGGTGAGTGTGGTGTGCCTGTGTCTCTGCTGTTGCCCAATTAGTTTCTGAGCCTTCTGCACCATTTTCCACAGCTCTTTCATTCAAAAATGTTTAGCCTAATCATTAGCTAGCTTTCTTAGCTGATGAAATCATTAACTAACAAAAACCATGTTAGAAAAATTACTTAAGTGAAATTAGAAAAGTGACCATTAGCCTAGTTAGTATGCCTAGCAAAATTGCCAAAGTTTTTTCTCTCCTTAATGATACACAGGCTGAAAAACATTAAATTTTTGTCTTTAAAACTGTACACTTTGTTAATTTTTTTCCTAATTTCTTTTGTACTGCTACAGAGAGTAATAAGTCTGTGAGGCTTATCCTGGTTTTGCTCTGCCAGTTTTTAATCTAATTACTTCTAATTACTATCAGTGGTCAGTCATGCTCTTCTGTGAAACCAGTTGCAAAACATCTTATGTTGTTGCATTCTGGCAAATAATTCACAAGTTAACTGCTTTAGTGGCTCTTTGGTCTCCTCTTTTAAATTGTGCATACCTGCAACATCTGTCAATTTTAGAAGATCTAGGTGCTATATAAAACTGATATCAAGGATGAAATGCCTAAATTACATGTTTTCTAACTTTACTGCACTAAATCAATCTTGTAACTTGTAGTATGAAGAAAAAAATTATTACAGTTTTTGTGCTACTTTGTTCTGCTTATAAACTGTATATAGGAAGTGAATACATTGTCAGAGTGCTGGGTTCCCCCAAAATTTTGAGTGAGCATAAACATTTCAGAGAGAACTGGGAACTGATGCTTGGTTTTGATTGTCTGTGCTCTGTGTCAGCAGGGCTGGGCACAATTACCTCCAGCATGTGCTACACAAGGGCAGATTACTTCATGTAGAGAAGTTTGTTGCTATCATTTCTTGTCACTGCATCTGTCCTGGTGAAAGCTGATGTGCCAGCAGTAGGCATAAGTAAGGTGATAAGGTGACTTTTTACTCCTTGGTGTGTTACTTTGCTTGGGGTTTATGTAATATGAGTGGGATTTTCTTCTTTGACCTAGGGCAAGCAGCTTTGCTGAAGGTCTAGCTGGAAATTTAGAAATTTAGAAAAACTTTTTTTTTTTCTTTTTTTTTTTTTTTCTTTTTTCAAAACTAGTTTCTTGACAAACAGGTGTAGCAAGTGCATTGCATACTGGCAGGTAGCAGGGTTTTCCTCATGCAATCATAACACATCCATCCATCAGAAAACCCTTGTATTTAGCTGTATTTTCCTTGTTAGGGCTTGTACCATTGAGAGTGGATGGGAAAATGTATCACTGCTACTTTAATGTTTAGTGCCATCTTTATCTAGGGCTTTGAGTTTTGCTGTCACAAATGGTTGTGACAAACTGTTGTTGTCAAAATGTGTTGTCACAGATAAATTATCTGTGGTTTAGAACTTTATTTTCTTTTGATAATCAGTTATTTCAACCATTTGTCATTTCATTCTACTAAATCATTTATCTATTTGTCTCCTCTTCTTGCATGCTTTTGGAAGCCAAAATCTTTGGCTAGTTCTTTCCTGTCACCTTGAGTCAAACATAAATATATGGTTTTTGAACATAGTTGGGACTCTGATGATTACCAAACTTGATATTTCAGAATGTTGCCACTATATATTCTCTGCTTGGATATTGTCATTGCTGGGTATGGTTTTACTGACTAAACATGGTTGACTTCCTCTAAGTCATACAACCTGTATTTCTGTTCATTAGTGACACCTACTTCAAGCCTATGATTAATTTCATCCTAAAAAACAGCATTTTGCTTTTCCTCAGGCAACTCTAATTTAAAATTATCTTTTCTTTTTGTGGATAATGATGAGAGACTGGGGGGATGGCTTGACTGTCCACACTCCAGTAAGGTTAAAGCAGAAATAACACCTCACACCTTCTGTCCAAAAGCGAGCAGCTTCTTCGGTGCCTCACAACATCTCTTTCCTGTTCTCTCCTCTGTTGTTACATGCTATTGAGGTATTCCATAAAGCTGCACAAACCTGCTTGGTAAGCCACACAAAACCTATTTGTACCCTGTTGTTCAAGCTTAAAGTGAGTTTCTTTGATTTACTCCTAAAGTGAATTAAATTAAATTGAGTTGAAGCGGTTTGTAATTCTGCCTGGATCTGCAGGTGGAACTACAGCAGTGTTGTGCCTAATCCACCTGGAATTTGCACTTTCCCTACATCTGTTGTCCTGTTTGGCCCTCAGTGATTTGGGAGTGCTCAGAGTTTTAACACGTCTCACCTTGAGCAGATTAAATGGTTTACCTAATATCAATATATTGTAGTTCAACCTATAATGATTAATAACTCATTTTATTCTCTCTGATACAGATCTGGTACTACACAAACAACATCTTTAGTGAATCTGGGATCAATCACGAGACAATCCCTTATGTTACACTAAGTACTGGTGCTGTTGAGACTCTGGCTGCTGTATTTTCTGTAAGTATGGTTATAAAAATCCATTAGCATGCTTGATATTTAAATATTATTAGATTTCATTTTCTTACACAGCTTAAAATATAGAAAGAATAGTATGTTCATTAAGTGTAATGGTTGATAATGCAATTCAAAATATTATTTCTAATTTTAATCCTAAAATAAACTTTTTTCTTGGAATATTTTTAAGGTGCTCTTTAATTTTAGACCCATAAAACGAACAGAAAAAGTTAGTATGTCCTGCAGAGCTTTGTATGCATGAAGAGAAAGAGGGCAGAAAGAGCAAGGGCCAAAGTATACTAAGTGATAACTCATAAATTATTTCACCAGGTTGAACCACCTTACCTGGTAGCAGTTTATTCACATCTCACAGTCCTCTCGTGTGCCTGCTGGGCAGCAGCAGTGCAGCTGGGAGAAGGCTCAGGCACAGCTCAGCTGCAGGTGTTGTGTGCCTGGCAGAAACAGCCACCCAGGCAGGTGGAACAGCAAAGGCAGCCTGCCAGAACAAGGGGCTCCCACATGGTGCTCAATTCTGCTGCCTTACTCAGGACAAACAGGCATCCTTTCCTAATACATCAGCTCCAGAGCAGGTCCTTTGCTCTGAATGTAGAGGAAGATGTTAGTAGTAAAACTCATCCATGCACATTTTTCTCTTTCCTAATTCAAAATGGAAAACATGACTAGGGAAAAAAATACACAAAATGAGCAAACTAAAACTCCAAGTTTTTGTAGGTGATAACATAACTAATTGCTAAAGGAAATACATTTATGATTGAACTGCAATACATAAGAAGTAATGAGACAAGTCTTTGGAATGGAAAGTTGCAAACAAGCAAGTAGTCTTTCTTTGTTTGAATTTTTACTTCGTATATTTTATACCAACACTATTTGAACAATACTGAGCACAGCAGCAAGCATTTTTAAATGTCACAAGAATGCTTTTGAAAAAAGAGTCCTTTTCACTGGCAGAGTAACTGATTGTGACCTACAAAATGTTAAACTAAATCCAGCTATCAGGTATGTTTCTTTTAGCCTAGGACATAAGGACTCTATAGGGTCACAAATTTCTTCTGTTGCTTGTGAATTTCCACAAATCTGGTTTGGGTTAAATTTATTTTTTTTAAAAAAATTAAACAGACTGGTTTTATGATTCATTTTAATAGGTAGAAACAGAGAAATATGAAAGTGTCTACCTCTTATTTCTTTTTTCTGATACTGCACACATGCTTCTTTGATTAAGATATATGGAAAAATAATAATGATACTTCTACCACTGATTTAAGTGAAGAATACCCCTCTTTTATGTGAAAACAGATGATAATTACATGGAGATGATTCCATGATATTAAAGCCATTCTATAAATAAGGTCTGTTATCTTTTCAATTCTTTCTGTGCTGTCAGTTTGTGGGGCTTATTCAGAGCACACTCTTCATACATAATGAGGTGGATGGGTGAGATTTGGCTCCTGGTATGTGCAGTAACTTTTTGTACTCAAGAGGAGATTTTTTTAATATTTCTTCTGTTAATACTACCTGCTGTGCCTCTGGAAATGCTGATGTACCAGTATCTCTGTTCTCTTACAATTTCTCAGTTCAAGACACACTGCTTTTAGTCTTAATTTTGTTTCCTTAATCTTCATAGATGTTTCATTGTTGTTGTTTAAAGGAACAACAACATGAATTTAGTTTTTCAGTTAAAGTTTTTGCACCTTATTTATTCGAGTAATTTCCCATCAAGTTTTCATGCCTAGCACTGAGGACAGGGGATTCCTTCCACTCCCAACCTCTCCCAGAGTCTCCTTTCGATATTTTTTAAAAAATCTTTCACAGCCTTAAATGTTAAGCCAGGTGCATGTCTTTTGTACTACTCAGGGAAAAAAACAGAAGAAAACAAGAAGAGAACTTAATTTTCCTGGTATTTTTTAATATGTTGTGTTTGCTAGCAGGTATCAGATTTTACTCACAATAAACTCCAGGATTTCAGTAGAGGTAATCAGTTATACAGGTATAGTTTCTGTCCTCTTAAATAAAATGGCAATTGGAAATGTCCACTAGAAATCATGTACTGTCTGTGATCATTATGAATAAATAAGGTTTCATGAGACTGAGCCTCAGGAGTATTGATGAGACCCTCATGAATGCCAAAGAAAAACAGTGAAATAGAGATGTTTCATGGAGAAGCAAAGTAATATTTAGGAGATAAAATACTGAAATTGTGAAAATTTTTGAAAGTCTCCCTTTAATGCATCTCTTGGGAGCAGCAGCACAATAGTAATAATGTTGATGTGGTCCATGAGGAAATACAATTAATATTCCATCATTTTCATTGCTCTGCATTGCCTCACATCATTTGTAGCATGCTTTGCCTACAGCTTCATAGCTCTTCCTCTCCAGCAAAAGCCATATCAACAAGACATTGAAAGATGAAACACGCATCATAATTTTCCTTTTATTCACATAATTTGGCTGCAACTTCCTCTTACACCAACACTTCCTAATTTACTCCATGAAATATGTGTGTTGTAGTGTTGCACACCTGATGCCCTGGCTTCTCTCTGGGGAGACAATAAAAACTTTCTGTAAATTTTTTTTTTTTGGTCAATGGGAGAGAATTCCACCCATTGCACTTAACACAGATTTGATTTAGAGGACTGGTTAGACAATTACTTTTTAATGGGGTTCCCATTAATTACAGTTTGTTTCTGAAGTTTTGTATCTTTTGGAATGAAATGCTGAATAGATTTACTACTCATAGACATGTTGCAGAAGTTACCTAACCTGATGCAATTCTTTGAAGCTGGATAGAATATACCTAAATTATTCCTGTGTTTATTAGAAATCTGTTCTATAACTTCTAGGTAAGGACATACCATAAACTTAGCTATTCTTCAGCAAGATTGATTACTGCTGCTATTTTCTAATTTTCAGTCATTCAGGTTAATTTTAGTTGTTGTCTTACTCTTAGTGGGCAAAGAGAACAATTTTCCAGTGCCTTTCTTTAGGACAGCAGCAGGGTGCAGAGAAAGGGAGACAGAAGTAAATGTCTGAAAAGATTCCTTCCCTCCTCCATGTAGCCAGCATAGAATAAAAGGGAATGTTATTCAAATTAAGCATCCCACATCCAGTTTTGCCATCTGTGGCACTACATTTGGTTTTCTTATAATGTTCACAGAAAGTCTAGATGTGGCTATATTGAGAAGACTGTGCCCTAAGTATTTCCCATAGGATGATGCATGAAGGTGTTACTAAAAGCCTGTGACAGAGACAAGCTGTGTGAAGCCTGGAATGAGTTAAAATACATTGCAGTACTAGACCATAAAAGAATGTAGGAAATCCTTTGCAGTAACACACAGAAGTCAGGGGAGCCAGCCTTCTTTAGCAAGATGATTTTAATCTGCTTTAGGATGTCATAAGAAAGAGTTCTTAGACTCATTCTTTGTTCCTTTTACTGTCAATAAATCTCAGTACAGAAGGAAATATTCCCTGCTCAAGGCACAGCACATCTTAAATAAAGGGTATTCTAGACATTTCCATAGGTGTTCTTGTCTCCAACACATTTTCTTCATGGTTTCTACAGGAAGATGCAAGATGTCTCCACTGAAACTCTGGGTCCACTATGGTCAGAAGAGAAAGAAATACGTTCCAGTAACAGCCAGTCTTAACAAGTGAAAAAAAAATGGGGTGACAAATACTAGAATCTCGAGGGTTCCTACAAAATTATGTTAGAATCTGATTTTTAGTAAAACTTTTAATGCAGTCCCATGTGACATTGTTCACACTAAGTCAGAATAAGCATTCACATACCTATAATTCCCAGTAGCATGTAAGCAGAGAGGGCAAGAATGGGGCAAACATGGCATTTCCCCCTCTTTCTCCCCTCACCCTGACAAGCTCCTTGTTGCTCAAGGATTACCAGAATTTGAAGGTAGTATCTTGGTCTGTAGCAGGCCAGTGAGACAGCAGCAGAAAAGAGATTGGGTAAGCAGCATCTCAGATCATGGAGTTTGTCAAAGGCCAGAGGCATTTGGGTATATGTTCTCTGCAGGGTAGACTGCAGAGAGAGTGTGTTAATGCACACTGCCTTAGCCCAAATATGATCAACAGGATTGCTTTTAGGTGAAGACATTATGCCTTTTTAATTGTTTTAATACACATTGATTTTTGAATAGATGAGGACAGCACGTGTTGAAGTGACCATGTGGTGCCTTCCAGAAGAAAGTGTCTCATCATGAAGTTCTGCCTTACAACACCTCTCCTAAGACCCAAGGTGTACATGGTTAAAGGCTGCATTTATGTAGTACAAATTCTTTTGTAGGATATATTCAGAAATTGAAAGTTTTAAAGATGTATCTCCTGCTACTGAGGATTAAAAGCATTGGGATTGAGTCAATCTTTTATCAATCTATTCAGGACAATCTGCATCGGACCACTCAAATGCCATCATTAGAAAATAAAACATCAACCACAAAGTTGTCACAGATCAAGATTGAGATCTAGTCTGGCTTTTATAGCACAAACATGATAGCTTAATGCTTTTAACAGCTAAATAATCACTAGAAGGAGTTTCGCCTCAGAAATATCTACAGTTTACTGAAGGGACAGAATAGGAATAAGGAAATGAATGTTCTTGTGCTGCCCTAAGGGCTGTTGCCAAGCACTGCTGAGGCAAGAGTGGCTGGCTAAGTCCTTGCATGGGCTAAGTCTTGGCTATACTGGTCTTGGCAGGTATCAAATATGGAGAGCACCTTTAGTGAATAGAAAATTTCACTGCTAAGTGAAGCTGATTAAGGGTGCCTTACTGCTAAATAATTCAGACTGAGCTTAGAAATGTAGCAGTAAATTCCATGCTTTACTGAGAGTAATCTTTAGGCAGGTACCGAAGTTGTATATGATCTTATCCTGCCATGGCTTTAATACAGATACAGGCAAATTGATGTGAGAGCCTTGCAGAGAGAGATTTATTTAAGGCTTGTGCTTTTGTGGTCAAAGTTGATGCTAGGCCTCTAAATTCCAATTTTGGTACTTAAGTACAATAGCCCCATTTTTTGTTTTAAAATGAATAATTCATGCATTAGACTAATGGATATACATCAAAATATGAATCAAAACCCCCAATTTATAATTCTTATTGTGCTGTTCCTCACCTTTGCAAGATACTACACATTGTTTTATAACAATATATAAATGATATAAATTAGGTTATCCATTTTAATCCTGATATTTAAAATGGAAATAAAAAAGTGTTAGCATGCCATGTAAAGTCTGAATCTAGTCATGGAGTCTTACTCAGACCTTTATCCAAAATGCATGAGAAAGAAAGTGTGGGTATTCTTGACATTAACTTATAGAGCAAACTTCTTCACAGGGCTGAGACATCAAAGAAATCTGATAGGGTTTGCTTAGTATAATTTAGGGCCAGGATATAAGTAGGGAATATTATGCAGCGACATCCTGTTTGGACTGCAGGACTTGCTTGCACATTCATTTTATCCAAGGAAGCTTGTCTGATCTATTTCAATACACTCTGCTTTCATTATGTCAGCCCTGGTATCTGCAGCTGACTCAAGTGAAAATGTTGACATTTGGTTCTTTAACTTTATTCATAAATGTTTCCTGACAGACAGAAGTAAGTTGTGTGAACTGTTAATGTAGTTTGTATATCAGTTGCCTTTTTATCACAAAACGTTTGTGTTGAGAGAATTTTGGTTGCAATATTTTTTACACATTTTCAGTAATTTCAGCTGTGTTAACCATCATGACTGGGTATAGATTTCTACAAATGCATGTTTATGATCACACAGAAACAAGTATCAGCCTACACAGCCTGGCACATAACTCAGGTGTTATCACAAAAAATAATTGTTCTTGTGTTGTCTGTAGTTGAGCATGTACTGGATTTCTTGTTATTTAATTTATTCTACCGTACAGTATATTTTGACCTGCTATGGATCTTCAATAGGTAACAGTTACCAGTGTGTAGCAGTGCAGCATTCAGAACTATAAATACTTGGAAACTGGTGAATCATCTTCCCCTTCTTATGAGTCATAAGCATCTCAGTGGGTTTTGCAAGTGAACAAGTTATGGATTTGTATAATCATAACTAAAACTTTAAGTTGTTGTCTGTTTACAACTTCAAAACAAGCATTGATTTCACCAGGGAAACCTGCTGTTATGGAAGACCGAATCCAAACTCTCCTTCCTTACTGGAGTTTGTTTTGCTCTGAGTTTCACAAGTGAAAACTATATATCACATTTTTTCCCATGTTTTGTATGGGAGGCATACGTGAACTTTTTCCCTCTAAGAGAAGCATCACCTCTGCCTGATCTTGTTTTAATACAAAGGCCCCCAGCTGTGTAACACCAAGATTGCTTGATCATGACCATCAATCCAGCACTGAAAAAAATAAGATAAATTGCACAGTATGTCAAATTACATGTGCAGCATTTATTGCTGAACATATAATCCACTACAAATTACATGTGAAACATCTGTTGCAGAAGTCTCTTGCAGAAGTTGCAGAAGATTGGTCTTACAGACCTATCAAATAATTTTTGAGCCCTCAAAGCCATTAAAGTTGTCTCTTGGTCCAGTGTCTATGTGGTCATATGTCTTTACAAGATGGATTCATTTATCATAATGGGAAATAGCTGCCATCTTGTAGAGGTTTTGACAGTGAAACAGCTGCAGTTATGGAACATTTGGACCTCATAAGATCTTCCTAATATCAGTGCAAGTCTTTTTAAAATTCCATAATTCTGTTATAGAAGGTATGGAAACTGTCCAAATTAGTATATTTCACCATTTAAAGAAATAAAGAATGCAAAATCTTACCACAGCATTTCTTTCAGTGATCTGCAGCATCACAGAGCATATCTCTGGTGGCAAAGTTCAGCTCAGGGTGCAACATCAACATGTGTTTAGGACAGACAAGAATGTCCTAAAATCTACTGGTGAACCCCAGACTGAGGGAGAAGCATTTACCTCTCAAGGCATTTCATCCATGGGTGTCTCTGTACTTTGATTTAACACATTTTATCTAGATGCTCGCAGTGGAGTGATGTGTGTTGTTTCCCAGAATTAAGGGTATTAGTCCAGATTTCATTTTAGTCACCCATTTTATTTTTTCCTCAAAGGATGTACAGAAGTCTCCACTAAATAATGATATGGCAAACAGTTGTGTGATTCTGACTTTAACTTATTTCAAGTGATACATTTTAATCTCCATAAAATTATTCTGTTTTTCTCATAAGAAAGCCAAGCATAATTAGTAATTTTATTAGTTACCAATATAAAAAGTACATCAGCTGTTATGACAAAATACATATTAGCCTATTTTAATGAGTCAGACCCAGCAGAGTTTCAAGTTACAGCTTTTTAAGAAATTCTTCATTGTGTTTTTCTCTAGCAGATAAGTATTCAGATTTTGTGATTTATATTCAGATGTTAAATACAAATTCAAAATGGGTGTAACTGCACAAGTATCAGTGTTAAAATCTCTTGTCTGAGCAAAGTTTTCTGCTGCATGGATTTCTTTTGTTTGGATATTCTAATTACAGTAATTATCAAAAAAAAAAAGACTAAATACTTAGTCTATATTTGAGAAAAAAAAGTTAAAATAAATTTTGGTTTAATTAAGATACATTTTATGCTAAAAATATTTAAATGTCAAATTTTAAGTATTTTAAGCTTAAATTCAGAGAGATGTTGAAATTGAGAAACAGTCAAAATGCAAAAGCAAGAGACTAATTCACTTCAACATACTGACAATTAAAAATTGCATATTGTAAGAACATTGCCATAGAAATTTAATGCATATTTATAAGCCATTCAAACAATGAACAATTTTTTCAATGGTCTCAGATAACAATACCAGGCTGACTTGTTTTTTCAAACATGTTAAATTTTGTCAACATAATTGTGAGCACAATTATGAATGTTGTAGCTTATGAATAGTGTACAATCAACCCTCATGGTTGTAGTTTTGATCTTCCTATTTACTAGGAGAACATATTTCATGGTCCAAGTTATTCAGTGTTTTCTCAGGAAAGGCAAATGCCACTTTTTGTTTTCCAGGGTTTAGTTATTGAGCGGCTTGGACGCAGGCCTCTCCTCATTGGAGGTTTTGGGTTGATGATCGTCTTCTTTGCAGTACTCACTGTCTCCCTGACTCTGCAGGTAACACTAGGGCCACTGCACATTTTTACTTTCTTTTACCTATTTCAAACATGCTTGATATTGGTTTATTTCTACATTCCTGCATAAGCCAATCCTCTTAATCAGTTTGGCATAAGGAATGAAAGGCCTCTTTTACTAATTTATGAATCTGTTTGCTTAAAACTTTTGCATTAAAAAGCAACAGAATCTTTCTCACATTCTCACATTCAGACTCTTTAATTCAAAGATTTATGCATATCATGAACTCTTATGAAGACAATTTTACCAACAGTTGAATAAACAGTATACCCATATTCTGTGGGTGTATCTTTGTTTGTAGTTCACTCTCTCTGAGATTTCTCTCATGCTTTATATGTCATTCCTATTTTAGGTTTGGAATTTTTTGTTAGTGAAAAATTTCCACATTTGATTTTTCTTTCAAGTAACTTTTCTGGTATTTCTATAAGCAATATAAAGACTTATCCTTTGGAGAATATTTGGCCTTAGAAAAAAGATAGGAATAGACATTTTAGCAGGGCCTGCTGTGATACAACAAGGGGTAATAATTTAGGAATAACCAGGGTCAATTTAGGTTAGATATAAGGAAGAAGTGTTTTGCAATGAGGGAGGTGAAGTGTTGGAACAGGTTGTCAAGAGATATGGTTGATGCCCCATCTCTGGAAACATCCAAGACTAGGTGGGACAGGGCCCTGAACAAACTGATTTAGTTGAAGATGTCTCTGCTCATTGCAGGTGGATTGGAACTAGATGAGCTTTAAAGGTCTCTTTCAATCAATATATTTTTATAATTCTAAGTTATCAGATGCTATTAGCACTCAATTCCCCAGGTATTTCAAATTATCAGAGAATTTATTAAACCAGTTTTAACTCTGGCCCTGAGTAATTTTCCTTGTTTGGCTTCATCTATGTAATAACGTGGTTTGTTTATGTTCCTAAGGACTTTAGAGAAGCAAAACTGACTTGCAATGGCATGGGTTTGGGTGGTGTTTCATCAAGGCGTTTTCCTGCTGGTTTTGATTCATGTGTGGTGCCATTAATCTGACTTCCAGATCTTGTTTCTTCTTTGAAGGGAGTCAGTATGTCAGGCTGACTGGTAGGTCTGTGCCATGCCACTGCTGTTTTATTTGATTTACCTGTATGTACATCACAATAAATCTTTAGTTCACACACCTGCCAGGGCAGCTGTAAGACAGCTCTCCTCCTGAAGAGAGAAGTTATTACATATTTTGTACACCAAGTGAAAAATTCCCTTCTGGATCTTTTAAAGCCAGGTTGGGGTTGTGAAGATCTTCAGCTGTTTTAAATCCCTGAAGTCTGAATGCCTTTCAGTTTTACCTCCTTTCAAAAGGGTCTCAATGTATTAAGTATTAGAGATTTGCTTTGAACAAAGGATCATGGTACAAATAGGCTTAATCTCAGAGGAAATTTATATCTATTCCATATTTGCACCTTCTTGTTCTCAGAGACCTTGGATTTGCTTCCAGACAAGAACCCTAGATTGTGTAATTTTCATAGATCCACAACCCTTTTGGTTAATGTTAATGTCCAGGAAACCATGGTTTCCATATAACTAAGGAAATAACCCAGACTAGAAGAGAAAAATCATCAGAAAATGGGGGCCTTTCCTTAACACTGAAAAAAAATTGATCTACTTTCAATTAGAAGAACTACTTTCTTTAGCAAGAATATTTTTACAGTCCCACTCAAGGTGCTGATAGTACACTTACATGTATATTAACAAACTTTTCAAAAATTGAAAAATTCAAATAAAAATATTATTTACATTTTGCTGTGGTAAAACTCCACCTGTGGGACAGAGAAAGAAACAGGCATCCATGGATTTTTCTCATCTATTAGTATTAGAATCAAGCATTCACAAAGATGATTAAGAAACAGAGTCCTGCAAACTCCACAGGAATTGCCCTCGTATTTCATATTCCTGACATTTAGAGGTCTCAGTAGAGAAAAATCTACTTAGAAGTAGAGGAAAGATAATATATATGGCCTTCCTTGTCTGCAAAATCAGATTACAGCTGAAAAGTCCTAGACTGTAGCTTTCCCATGCTTTGCCAAGGTTCAGATACCTGGTTCTCCTACCAAATGTCAGCCTGCTGTGCATTCAGCCAAGCCTTTGACTGGTGAACGCTGAGCCTCCAGAGCCATTCTAGATGCTCTTTTTAAACATGACTGAAATACCTGAGGTGGAGGGAGGTGCTGAATGTCTTCAGTCTTCCAGGCTGGCCTGAACTTTAGCACAAGCTGTGATTTTTTAGAGTTCTGACTCTGTGGTACATAGCTTGTCTAGTGTTTCTCTACAGGGATTTCACAGTGACCAAGGCCTTTAAATACAAATCATCAAATAAGGTTCTACAGAAATGCTGTAATTTTCTAAAGTAACCCCAGACTGAATTCTGAAATATATCAAGAATCATGGAAAACACTGTCTGTGAGGTTTTAAAAATATTTCTGATGTGTACAATATGTTTGAAATCAATGTCTTTTATCTACCCAGAGCTCTGTGCATTGGCTTCCTTACCTCAGTATATTTTGTATCCTTGCAATCATTGCATCATTCTGCATTGGACCAGGTATGTCTATATCTATTTTTTCATGTTTCTTTGTACATCTAAGGACAGGTATTTTTGCACTGGCATTATGTTAGCAAATCACTTGTACAGAACTTCACTTTGGCAGCAAGCCAGAAAGTAAGACTTTTGTTCTCTTGAGCTTTTGGAGCTTTTTTTTTAATGCACTATTTGTTGCCTCTTTTTCTTTGTAAGGAGTTTTACATTAAACATTAATCAGCTGTTTATACATCTTCACCACTGAAGTGGTCTAATTGATTGATTGTGGTTTATTTGGGGAAGAGTTGCTGATGTTTGATGTGACTCTAATGAAATGCTGCTCTGTAATTCTGTGGATCCTCTTTTGAAAAGCTGAGAAAAAAATACACTGCTTTAGAGAAAAATGGGGAGAAGACCAAGGTATTTCTTTTACTCTTATTTCTGGGAAAAGGATTTGTGACTAATTTCTGTCCAAAAAACTGTGAAAATACTGAAAAAAAATAGCAGTGCCTTTGTCCTTCTGTAAGGACAAATCTCAGTTCAGCTAAGTCCACTGTACTGCTGACATATGTTTCTTAGATTGAGATGGGGGAGTGGGTGTTAAACAATTCTGTGGAATACAACTTTTCTTGAATTTTAAATACCTTAGGAATGTCAAATGTTGACTTGAAACTTCTTTAAAACTTCCCTTCTCGTGTTTTATGTGGCTCAGAGGTTTAAGTGCAGCTGCATGTTATGTCTATGCATGCTATGCATGCTATGGGTTTTTTTTTTTAAATCTCTGTTGAAACAAACTGATTACAGATACATTCCACCAGTTTTTAGAACTTGCAGATCAAAATGTTCTTACATGTTATATTTCCAGCATATGAAGATTAACCCTCTGCTTTTCTTCTTCACCTCACCAGTCTTCAAAATGGATTCTAGTGTTCTTCATTTGGATTCTTTCTCTTTACTGATGTTATTCAGGATTTGTGTTGTACTTCACAATCTCTTTGAAACAAAGTGTCTGCAGATACATCCAGGACAAGCAGCTAGTGTTAGAAATTACTTGCTTTTTTTCTACAGCAATTCATTAAAATTCAAGCTTTGGTTGTGTTTTTTACTGTGTTCAGTGTTGTTAAAGCCAAAGAACATTAATAGTGTACCAGTAGATACCTAGTTGGCCTCTCTGCTTTTCCTCTGTGTGTTCAGACATTTCTCATATCTGACAATAGTGGGAATATGCAGGTAGCACTTAACATTGAATTGCTTTTAATGAAAATCTCAGTATCTGACTCTTCAGCTGTTGAGAAGAATCATATTCTTATATCTCTGCAAATGAATAGTAATATTTTAGCTGACTTTGATGGGGGCTGACTTAGCTTCAATTAAACTTCTCTGTTCTGTCTAGAGGTGCTTAGGAAATCTGAACTACTTTTCTACCTTTTAGCTGGACACCTTCCATTATTAGCAAAGTTTTAAGATGATTGAATAAGAAGAGAGCATATATATTTTTTTCTGAACACAGAAATTATTACCAAGAAGTCCATTGTATCCATTGCTTTTTGTATCACAAGGCATAACTCAATAATTGAGTGAAATTACTTTGTCAAGTTTTGTCCCCCTTTCCTTATCCAGGAAAGAAAGCCATCAATAGCCTGTGACAAGTCCATTGGAGAGTCACCATGTCAGTGTCAGGAGACCTGTGAGAAGGGACTGGGTGAACTGGACTTGTCCAGCCTGAGAAGAGACAGCTTTGGGGACCTAAGAGCCATGCCACTACCTGTGAGAAGGGTGTTGCAGAGCCAGTCTCCTGTTGCTGCATGATGAGGTGCTTGAGAGGCAGAATGCAGGTGTTAAAACAAGAAAGATGCAGAGAGACTGTAAGGAAAAGCTTTTTGCTTCCAGGCAGTCGAGCAGGCTACCAAGGATACTGAGCCCCTAATTACTACACAAAGATAAAAACTGAATAGATTGTACTACTGTTTTTCTCCATTGCAGTGATTGTAGGGAAGTGTCCAGAGCAAAAAAAAAACCAGGGAAAGTAGGTGATACATTTTTAGAGAACCAGTGCAATTTTTTTTCAACTTAGGGTCTTTCTGCAGCATAGCTTCTAACTCTTTCATAGTCTCCCATGGATTTGTTAAACCTCTGTCTGAAACAGCAGAATTTTAGTATTCTTTGGCAAAGAAAACTACATCCCTATTACCTTTAATGCACACATCCTTCGTTAGTCTTTGTGTGGTACCCTCTAGGCCTTGAAGAAACAGAGCAATTGATCCTCTTCCTCCTTTTCAATTTCCTTGTGATCTTGTCAGCTTTCACCTTATCAACACAGATTTTTCTGGAATGAAAAGCTATTTCTTATTGCCAACTTTTCAGTGATATTTTATGACACCCCTTTAACAGAAAAATTTCACACTTTGGTGTTCTTTTCTAGCACTCTGGTGGTTTAATGGGACAAGGTTGAAGTTCAAGAATAACTTTCCCACCTTTCTGGTAGTAAAAATGGTTTTCCCCAAGAAAATTAAGATATATTCTTTATATTTTTTATACTTTTAGCCTTTTGTAGAAGTTTTGCCATTCATTTGTATTGGTTAAACAAGGGCTATTGTAAAGTAATCCTCAGTATCTCAGTTCCTCCTGTAGTTACACTACAAAAACAATTTGTAATGATTCCATTGGTACAAAACTTAAGCTAGGACAAATTAATTTATGTCACTGAGCTATTGGTACTTGTTAAAGATAACAAATTACATGAAGAATTGAATTTATAAAAATACTGCTTTAAGTCTCTAGAGCATGAAATTGACTTCAAAAGTACAGTATTTTCTCTCTTGTTAGAACATCTAATATCTTCTTCATAGCTTAGATGTTGTGTAACCATTTTCTGACAGCATATACATGGGTCCCATCTGCTCCTTTTCACTGAGGATCAGCTGTTACTATAAACTGTGGAGGGTGTTTATTTGTTTCATTTTTCTGAACTCGGCTTTTCAGCTTGCAGATATCTTTGAGGACTGAAACAGTAATGCTAGCAACAGGTATGCTCAGGCATGTGTGTGTTTGGTGCATCATCATTTTTGTCAAAAGCCAAACAGCAGAAAGCTTTCACTTTCTAAAAATTAAAGGGGCCCTTATGCTTGATACAGTCAATCTGTGATCTGAAAGAAAATAATTTATTTTCTATAGACTAGGGAGCCCTGCTGGTCCAGACAGTTGTTTTATTGTGCCTATTTGATAATAATATGCAAGTTAAGATATTTGATGGACCTGAAATAAACATAGTGTACATTTCAAATGAAGAATTGTCATCCTGCAGACAGTAAACTGAAAAAAAAAATGAGGGGATTGGTTCTGACTCCTAAGGAGACAAAAGGCAATAAGCTGAAAATCAGCTGAGAAAACAAATCAAATAATCTCAAACCAAAGAATTTCAAGATCTGCAGAGAGCATTTGTGCTGTTCAGGTTATACATCATGAGAGAATGCATTGATTTAATGATTTAATGCCTTTCCAGAATGGGTAAATAATGTGCAGCTTCTTGGAAATTTGGATCATGATAGACAGGTTTAGGTACATGTGAAATGTCTTCCTTCTTTGACTTAATATTAATAGTTAATATTTAAGAAAAGAGGAAAACTAGGACTTATTTTCTCAGTTAAACCTGTGTGGCTGCCTCTTCATGGACTGAACATTCATGTTCAACTGTGCCTGCAGAATCCATTTTTTTCAGGAAAGATGGTCTGAAATCTGACTTAAATAGAAAAAAGAGAAGCTTCTGCTTATTTTTAGCTATTTTCTTGAATTCCCCATTCACCTATTGTACCTTTACAACAGTTGCTGCTCCAGCAAGTGATTTTTGAGTTTTCTGGGATAATTGAAAAATGTGCATTGTAGTTTTAAAAAACCTGCTGCAGATTTTCCACTTTTACCCCCCAGCCAAAGATTTAAAAAAACCCCAACAACTGAGCACCCAAAAACCGACACAGAATGTGTTCCATCCATTTTCCTGATTTGTCTGCAGGGATGTTGACCCCACTTGTCAGTGAGTCTGTCATGCATTTTCAGATGAGGGGCTTGCAGGTTTTGGTTTTGAAGTTTTTCCAACTCACATCCTCTGAACCAGAGAATGGCTTTTCTGCCATCTGTCAAGATGTGTCAGATAGTGGAACATGTGGAGAAAAAAAACTGATCAACTGATCAATTGGGGGTTACAGAAACATTGGCATGAACTTCTGGATAACCTTCCTAAATGTAACAAAAAGACAGTCAAGACCTTGAGAACTTGGAAATCTGGCATAAAGCATTTCCATGCATTATCTTTGTATGAAGTGATTTATTGGTATTTCTTCCTTAGAAGCATATTCTGTTTAAGTGTAACCCCTTTCTATCCAGCTTTGTTAAGTAGAGAAGGCACTGCTGCAGAGAAGGGACAGGAAACCATGGTGGCCATGGTGAGGTATGATGCCTGTCTTTAATTAAACGGAAGGATGGGAGGAGGTGGCAGGAGGTGGACAGTTTTGATAAAATACCTTGCTTTGAAACAATCTTCTTTTACCACCTTCTTTCAGAAACTGAGTAAGTATTGTTGCTTTGAAATCTCTGCAAATTTGCTGGCTCTGGAAACATGGTGCACTGGGGCACTGGACTTCTTTTACCACTGGAAATAAGTAAAAATAATCCCAGACCCTAATTGTGGCAGTAAGATCTGTAAAAAGTGTTTGTGTAGCACAAGTGTGTCACCCACCTTTTCACCACTGCATCTGGGAGGGAGATCAACCACAAATGGGCACAGGAAGCCATGTGGTAAAATTCCTTCTTCCTTAGAATTCCTTGGAGTCCTTTGGAAAGAAAAAAATCATGTTTTATTACAACAAACAATAATACTCATGCAAGTTCCAAAAATCTGAGGAGTTGATTTTATATCCATTACCTGATCATGATAACTCAAGCCATCCTTGTACTGGAAACTTGTGTTATTTTGATGGCACTTGAAGCTTGAGATTACTGATTTTGTTGAAATCTTTTGCATTTTGCCC